TAGTGCACTTTCAATCAATATCTTCCCGACGTTGGTTGAAGCCGGGATGATTCTGCAACCGTGTTAGGAATGACACGTTAAAAGGTAATACCTCGTTAGTCCTCATCTCGCACAAGTTTCTCAACTTCTTTCAATCATGAAAGTTGTCGTTCGTATGGGGGCGACAGCTGATTAACGGAAGCACAGATTTTAAACAGAACAGATTTTTTTCTTGAAACAGATAACGTTTTCCTCAGTATCGTATCTTTCTTTACTCACAATGATCTGAGCTATCAGGTGTATATTGGAATTACTAGTATTTTTTCTCTAGACATTGAATTCTAGAACCTGGTTACTTCTAATTACTGATCCATTCAAAAATGGTGACGCCTCGTTGTTTTCAATTCCAATATTTGAACCTAATATTCGGAGATATGTTGGGAGTTGAAACAAAGTCCTCTACGTTAGATTTCTTTGTGTCAAGAATCGCAAATAGATCATCTACATATCAGATCCAAGCCCTTGGGAAGTAATCTAGTACCTTTTTTGCTTCCAATTCAAATCTACTCCAGACCAGATCATCTATAAATGGGAACAGTGGTCTTCCTTCTGCCGTACCTTTCGTGCTGTCTGCAAACAGAAACAATTATGTTCCATGCAGATATCTATTAGTTGTATGTAGTATTCGAAAATTTTCCCACTGAGAGCTTCGATTTTCAGAAGATCCCTCAAAAATCTAATAGTTTTCGGTAAGAGGACACTTGGAAACGAGAATACATTGAGTGAAATTTCTTCATCTTGCAGCTGAACATTTGAACTCAATTGTGGGATTGCGAGATTTTCAGACTAATTGGTTGAGCCATTCAGCAGTTTTATGAATACGGAAACATATGACAGAGACAATTGGTTGCATAGACTTGCCAAGTTTGTGAATTTATCGTACACCTCATTATTTAAGGAACTGTAGGATTGAGAACCTATAGACTTCTATTCAAAGCCGGTGAAGTCAAGTTTTGAAACTTGATAATGCTTCACAAGGACCGTTTTCAATTAACTTATCAATTCTCTCATAGTAATCTGACTTGTACAAAACCAAAACCCCATTGCCTTCATCTGCTTCTTCCTTCTTCAGTCTTCTGATGATCTTTTTCTCTTCTTTGCAAGCCACCCGAAAAATCCTTTCGATGTGTCAGGCGAGTGCTGAGTTTCACTTTCAACACCGACCATAATATTTCCCAAGACTTTGCTCGAAGAACTCAAATCTAATTTCAAACCCTCTTTCAACAGATCACTTTCTTCTTCATCAAAAGATTGACTCGAAAGATTTTCAACAATATGAATAACTCTCTTCGATTTTTTGTCTGTTTCTTCAGCTTCAAGTTTTTCTAGTTTCTTGTCTAAACAAGTCTATGAAAATGTTGCCATTGTTCTGTCTAATTTGTCTGACTATTTCGTTAGCAATGTCTGTCATCCATCATCAACCCTTGTAGAAGTAAACAAGCAGTTCTGAAAGCTATTTTCATGTTCAGTTCTCAACAATATGATCCAATAATGAAACCCAGTCTCTCTGAAATGGATTTACTTCTTCTAATCCGTCAATGACTCCAAGAGTTATTGTCGTAACATATCCAGAACAGAGAGTGAATGACTACATTTGTTGATGACATCGACAAAAATGAAAAACACAGACTCATGTTGATCTCATTGAAAACTTCCACTCATATGATCAGGAAAAGAAAACTGTTCTTTGATACATTTTTTTTCAAATGTTTCGTCATGTTTCGATGGATCCATCTGGTGACAAATATCTGAAACATGAGAGTCCTCGAATATTCTAGGTGTGTTGGAACAACTGAAAAAACGCACGTCTGAGAGATTTATCGGAAAGGGACAAATTGCAGTGAATTCAATATGCCAACACCTCCATCTTTTCATTATATCTGACAGATTCAAGTGGAATGTGTTTTTGAAGGAATATACACTTGCGAAAGCTTTCAGAATGTCGCTTGGTTTGAGGGTTTTGTAAAGTGCACTAGTCGAATCATTGAAAGAATGTGTCTGATAAATTTTGGCACGTTCCCACAGAAGCACTTTGATAGTTTTATTTTTCCTTATCAACTTGGTTTTTATTTATTGGCAAGCAATCGGAAATCTGGGGAGTTCGAGTTCTGAACACTGTTAATTTTAACTTGTAGATTACTGTGCGGAGAGTTGAAAAACTATAATGTGGAAGAAACATGCTTCTTAATGATGATATACCGCTGATCAGCCCCAAACACAAGCACTACGGGAAAATCCTATCAAACAGTGAAGTTCGAGGTGTTCTGAGTCAGTCAGAATCCGTCGCGTATTTCTGATATGTACTGCTCTTGGTGGAATCAAATGTGCTGAGCAATTTGAACACCTCCAGTGGAAGTATCTATGAAACAGTGACAAATCTCTAACTTTTCTTTGATGTTCCAGACTATTGAAGGTGCAAGTTCATGTCTCTAATCAGGAGGATGGTTCTTTTCTGATTGGAATCCAGCAACTTCAGGGTATGTTTGGGGGTAGAGCTCCATACATCAAAGAATGTCTGATCTGAGCTTCATAAAGCATCAACAGTTGAGGTGTGTATAGTGTTCTGGTTCAGAACAGTGTTTCAAGCTTTTAAGATGCAGCCTCTGCAACTCCAGTGACATATTGGAGTCGATTTTAACCCCATACAAACTTATCGAAGCAGAAAGCGGAATTATCTGTCATGACCTCTAGATCCTCATTGAGATATACAACAATCTCTGACTACTCAGTAATTCATTGTAGTCATGAATTTTGATTATAAATCTGTTTGAAAAAATCTGTTTAAAATATGTTTTTCCGTTCATCAGCTGTCGCCCCCATACGAACGACAACTCTCTTGTGCAAGCTACGGACTAACGAGGTCTTACCTTTTTACTTGTGATTCCTAACACAAATGGAATAGATGATTGAATAATGAGCTTGAATAATGAGCTTTTTTTAAATGATCAACATTGCGAAAAATAGTTATGTTCGTTCCCAGAATCTGAATAAATTGTTATTGTGAAAATTCTTGAAAGGAATATACATTTTCAATGGAGGCATTTCCAGTTATGATTCTTTCATTTTATAACCTGAAGGACTTTAATGGTGATATTTTTTCATTTGCCGATGATAGGGCATTGATTTTCTATAGTAACATATGGAACTCAACTTATGCAAAAGCACAAAACGAATTGAACGTTAGAGATCAACCACTAGAGGGAAACATTTTCATACATACCCCCAATTGCCAAACTCCTATAATTTGTTCTTCTTCACGTATAAAGAAAACGGATACAATGAAATATTTGGGTGTGATGCTTCACCAACGGTACGCTGGGATAGACATGTAGATTTTCTCGTGAAAAGGCTTAGAAAACTTTTTTCAAATTCTACCAACTCAGAAATATACAAAATAAACATTTATTGCATTAACTGAATCAGTTATAAGGTACTGTTCTATTGTTTGGGGTGGATTGAATAAAATACACTTACATAATCTTCATGTGATACAAAACACATTGCTTAAAATAGTATTGAAGAAAGATAGAAGATATCCAACTGGTAGCTTATATGGGGAGGCTAGCTTATTCAATATCAGAAAATTATACACCTATCACTGTGTTCTATGGACGTTGAACTCGCCTCTCACATATCTGGCACAGATACACGACACCCGAGCCAGATCCGAGAGAACAATTAGTGTTCTTTTTTGTAAAAATGAATATACCCAAAGGTTCGTTACTTACTTCGGAACGAAACTTGTCAATCAAGTTCCCATTGAACAAAGAAATATAAAAAATATTAATGAACGCAGAAAAACAATTAGATCCTTCGTTGGTCACAACTTTGATTTCTTGAAAGAAATATTTGAATTAACTCGCTGAATCATGACTAAAAGATTTTTTTATCTCACTTAGACCTGTCTCCTGTTCGTCTGATTGTCTGGTCCAATCCTTCTGCGGGTTGATCATTGCTTTTTATTGCTTTTTTTATTATAAATTTTCATTTCTTACTGAAAGGAATCAATAGTTTTTTTTTCTCACTTACATTCATGGTTTTGTTCAGATCTGGGAAAATACGAAACACAAGCTTTGCTTAGGCGTTTCCCAAGAACTGAACACCATCACTAATTCATTGTTATTTACTATTACAACCAAAAGGTCGTGAAGTAAATCTTTCAATTTCATTAATTTTCAGATGTTCAATTTTTAATTTTCTGCTTAATTTTTATTTTATTTTATTGATATTTCTTTTCAATGTTTTTTATTTGATTTTCATTTTTATTAATTTTTTCAGAAATTTCAAATCATATTATACCATATTAAACAATGGAAGTCCGAATTTTACATAATCTACACATCCTTGTATGGAGTTAATTTTTTGCAATTGATTGGTTCCTTCCTTTCTTTGGAATTTCCCACATCATTTTGTATAAAGATGAAGAAGAAGAAAGCGAAAATCTTTTTTTTCCAAAAATTTCAAAACTTATACTCATTCATAATTATTTCCAGAATTATCTTATCATTTTGAAAGACAATACTGTATTATTCCAGATTTATTTCTAGTAGGTATTTATTGCAAAAATATTGAAAATTTTCCGAATGAATAGTGAGTTTTTGGTCATTAGTTATTTATCAAGTTATAATGTGTTGAATTTTCCGAATGAATAGTCTTTCATGTATTTTCCGTAAGTAGTATTTTGAGAAGTCCACAATTCCAAAACTAAAACTCTCGAAAATCCGTGTCAAATCGTCCATTCACATTTTCGATCCAATTGCAGTTCCATAGTAGAAACTTGAATATATTTTCTAATATTATTTCGCCCCACTGTACAATTTCCTTAATATCATTCAAAAATAATCCTTCCTCACACATATAACCGCAGTCCTTTGTCCGCACAGTTGCAACAAAAGAATTTCCCGAGACGACGCGATGGGTCGATACCGATTCGATTTTCCGGAAAAACTTTCAAAACTTACCTTGAACGTTTGCGTCACCTTCTGTTTTGCCGCATTAGGTCCAAATGGCGAAAACTCGCGGTCTTCACACTCTCTACGGCACTTGTATTTGATGGAAACTCCGACGAAAACTAGGAAACCGCGCGAGGAAATCGGAAAATTCGAGCACACGGACCGGACTGGCGCTGGCGCACCGATCGCTACAACTATGAAAAGTGTCCTCTAGAATTCGCCGTGCCGATACGCCCACCGTATCGAAGTGTGCTGCTATTTTTGGCGGACTTGGTATTGTTGTCTATCGAAATAACTTTTTGTGTTGTACCTGAATCTGCGAGGTGTTGATCAGTTCAGTTTCGGCGGTGTAGCCACCTGCTTGAACATGACAGTTTTTGATTGTTTTCCCACACAAAATAGACGCTACTTATGTATTTCAAATAAAAAATAAAATGTTTCAAACAGATGCCATTCGCTATCACTCGTTAACTAAGCTACATGAATATGTGGCTTGAAAAATTGGTATCTTTTGACGTATTTCAGAGAGCAGCTACGTGCTATCTTTTGGAATATTCTTTACGGCAGCCATGATGGCATAAAGAAGTGATAATGCCACCAGGTGATATGAAGCCATCTGAGCCGAAATGAGCAGTTCTGGAATAGTATCTGTGAACCATCTTCTGAAATATTCTTAACGGCAGCCATAATGGCATACTGAAGTGCTTACTGCACTCACGATCCGGGGAATGCTCTTCTGATCAGCTGAGGTGATCTGTAAACTTCCAGGCCGGTATCAACAGCTAAGGGATAGTATATATGGATCATCTTCTGGAATATTCTCTATGACAGCCATAATGATATAGTGAAGTGTACTAACTGCAACTGCTAGCCAGAAGACGCACTTCCGATCATCTGAGGTGATCTGTGGCCATCCAGACCGAAAATAATATATCTAGAATAGTATCTGTGAACCATCTTCTGAAATATTCTTAACGGCAGCCATTAAGGCATACTGAAGTGCTTACTGCACTCACGATCTGGGGAATGCTCTTCTGATCATCTGAGGTGATCTGTAACCTTCCAGGCCGGTATCAACAGCTCAGGGATAGTATATATGGATCATCTTCTGTAATATTCTCTACGACAGCCATAATGATATAGTGAAGTGTACTAACTGCCACTACTAGCCAGAAGACGCACATCCGATCATCTGAGTGATCTGTGGCCATGCAGAAAATAACAACTCTAGATAGTATATGTGAACCATCTTCTGGATCATTCTTCACAGCAGACATTAAGGCATTCTGAAGTGCTTACTGCACTCATGATCCAAGAGATGCCCTTCTGATCATCTGAGGTAATCTGTAGTCATCCAGGTCGGATCGATGGAATGGTTGAAGTGATAATTGCACCCACCAGGTTATCTGAAGCCATCTAGGTCGCAATGGGCAACTGTGAACCATCTTCTGGAGTATTCTTCATGGCAGCCATAATGGCATACTGAGGTGTTAACTATACTCACGATCAAGGGAATTCTCTTCTAATTATCTATGTTGATTTGTAACTATCCAGGCCGATATCAAAAGCTCTGAAATATTATCTGTGGATCATCTCCTGGAATGTTCTCTATGGCGGCCATAATAACATACCGTAGTGTACTAACTGCAACTATCAGCCAGGGAACGCTCTTCTAATCATCTGAAGTGATTTGTGGCCATCAAGATCGGAACTAACAGCTTCTGAATAGTATCTTTGAACCATCTTCTGGGATATCCTCTACGGCAGCCATAATGATATTCTGAAGTGTATTAACTGCCACTACTAGCCAGAAGACGCACATCCGATTATCTGAGGTGATCTGTGGCCATCCAGACAAAAAATAACAGCTCCAGAATAGTATATGTGAACCATCTTCTGGATTATTCTTTACAGCAGCCATTGAGGCATTCTGAAGTGATTACTGCACTCACGATCCAGGAGATGCCCTTCTGATCATCTGAGGTAATCTGTAGTCATCCACGTCGGATAATTGATAATTGCACCCACCAGGTTATCTGAAGCCATCTAGGTCGCAATGGGCAGCTGTGAATCATCTTCTGGAGTATTCTTCAAGGTAGCCATAATGGCATATTGAGGCGCTAACTATACGCACGATCCAGGAAATGCTCTTCTGATCATCTGTGGTAATCTGTAGCTATCCAGGCCGGTATTAACAGTTCTGGAATAGTATCTGTGGATCAACTTCTGGAATATTCTCAGTCATAATGACATACTAAAGTATACCAACTGCAACTACCAGCCAGGAGACGCACTGTCATCTGAAGTGATCTGTAGTCATCCAGATCAGAAAAAACAGCTCCAGAATAGTGTCTATGAACCATCTTATGGAATATTTTTTGCAACAGCCATAATAACATACTGAATTTGGATGTTTACGGCTCGAATAATCTAACAGACTGATAACAGATTTCTACACATCTACTGCACATCTTGAGGGAGGCAGCTGTATAGAGCACTAAATTCTCTATCGTTCAGTGTATATGAAGTAGTATAAATATTTATTGAGATATGGAGCTACAAAAACACACGACATTCAAAAGGATAAAACTTTTGAAACAATCTAATACTTATCATATCTAAGGAACTGAGAAAAATAAATAACATGTTCAGTCGTGATTTGAATCAATTTATTCATTTAGATAAGCCAATGGTTCATATTGATATAGTCTGAGGTATCATTGTGTCGAATTATGCTCAGATGGTCTCCAGGCACCAAAGTAACTCTAGGTTGAGACTGACAGCACTGAAACAAAGGAAAAATCACTTAATTTCAGTCATATCATTTATCTATATAGTACATCATCAACAGCTAAAGCCGATAACGAAATGGGAAAACGAAATTTAGAATAAACAAAAACAAGTACTTTCGTATGAACGACTGGAAACCATCATAAAAGTAACAAAAAATAATGTAAACAATACAAACAGCGAGATATTTCGTATGAGATATTGATGTACTTGGCGAGAAAAAAAATTAAAATGACGAAATGAGAATCATGTTGGTTGGAAAATAGGGTTTAAGGTGGTGATTTCGCAAACAAGGAATCTGAGTACATAATAATAACCTCAATAATTCCAAGAATTATGTCCATGAAATCAATACTTTGTAAAAATTTTCTTGAATTTGGTAGCAGAATTATTGTTCTTCACATATTTGGGCAGACTATTTCAAATTATTATTGAAGTAAAGCCTATTGAGTTTCTAGTAACTTTACAATGACTAGATCCTTGAATTTAGGCATCTTCGTAGATTGTGGCCCTCAGTGTATGAGAAAAAAGAACTGGTGAATTTTTACGACAAAAGGAAATCATATAACAACTTTTTCTATAGAGAAAACAACATTTGCTCCGGCTTCTTGATATCATCATGAAAATGGGTACAGTCAGTCAGTGATAATAATCGAGAAAATATCTCACAATCATTTGTGTAAAGAAGGATTCCAGAGTCTTATCTGAGCAAATATCATCTATGAAAATGATGAATAGTGATGGACCCAGTACAGAGCCTTGTGGAACACCTGAAGATGCTGCAAAGTCCACAGACTCAAGGTATTGTATCAAGTTTTGACATCAATGATGTATGATTGTTAAAACGTACAGACACAAGAATTTATCGATAAAGATACAATTTTTATGATCTTTTTTTCAATTCGTCAAGTAACAGACTTTAACAGGCTCATTCATCTCAGTTAAAGATAATGCCATTATTCTAAATATCTGAAGTGATCAACGAGAATAAGTTTTCAGGCAAAGAATGAACATTGAATCTCTTACCGATTCCAGTCCACAGTAATCGTTTTGGCTAGCCTCATTTGGTGCTAATAAATGGACCGTTCCCGAAACGAGAACGCCATTGGGTCGATAAGTAGCAATAGTATCAAGCTGGTTTTCGAGGCGAAGTAACCCTGCTTCCAATAGGTGCCTTTGTTGTTTGGTGCCTTCATAACCCTCTAGACATATTTTGATCCTGCTGTTCCAGTCACTGGTGGCTTCTAGTTTTCTCACAACCTAGAAACAATGATAAAATAGTTCAGTGGTTGAAAATCTATTGGTGCATTGGAATATATTTTCATTATTATCATCATTTCGATTCCACGAGTCAATTCTTGAACTAATTACATTCACTGATAAAAAAATGTCATTATCTGACTAACCTCTGAATCCTTCATAGCGAAAACCATCTTGAGTACATTGAGCGCTTGGTCGCTTCTATCTTCTCCAAGTCTTTCCAGGGCTTGCTGTACCTTCCTTGGAGCACTGTCGATGAAGAACAGATGAATACTGGCTTTCTGTTTGGTCAGAATCTTCGCAATCTCAATAGCTAGAAAGCCTCCCGACGAAACACTGACTATGTTAAATACACCTTTTGGATAAATGGAACGCATTTTCTGAAAAAATAATGAAAGTTCACCTTCGTTATTCAAAATTCGACAATCTCTTAGAGGTTACATCAGAACTGATTAATTACATTTGGATGTATTCATCGTATTGGCGGTGTGATTGAAAAACAATCGGCTATCGAGACAGTCAAGTTTCGCGAACAGTGCGGTGCGGAGCGACCTAATAAGGCCTTAACGAAGCCGATTAGTGTGTATGGTGAGTGGTGTTTCAGGTCAGATGGTAAGAAAGGCTCTGCCGAACTCTAAAATCCTTATTCGGTGTCCAGCGGGGCAGGCACAAAGTATATGCTCTGCTGTTTCATCATTTTCCTAACAGAGGCGACACACACAATCTTCCGACAGCTCGAGACTCTGCTTATGATGGTTCAGATAACAGTGACCTGTCAGAAGGCCTGTTAGACATCGTAGTTCATCTCTACTGTAGTCCAACAACTGTTTGGTATCAAGCTTCGAAGGGTGAATAAACGCCTTGGAGTGAGCCAATCCTGAAAGATTCTGCCAGAAATCCATAAATTTTCTCGCCATCCAGGTGTTCAATGTTTGTTTGGCAAAGCCTAAAGCGATGCCCATAACAGGTTCTGGACCAATGAAGCTGCTTGCAGCACTCTCCTTTGCAAAGAAGTCAGCAGCGTGATTGCATTCCAGGCCAGTATGGCCAGGAATCTGTTAAGTCTTCCTATCGAGGAGAGTCGTTTTTGGCAATTTGCTACCCATTTAGACGTTGCTCGATAGGAGCCAAGATCTTCCAACGCCGCTTGACTGTCTGAGAATATTTATATTCACTTGTGTATGAGGCTGGATTCTTCCAATCTCTCCGCACACAATTCAATAGCGTAAATTAGTGTAGTAAATTATTGGTAAATCCACGAAGAAAAATTTAACAATAAGGGCGATGAAAATAATAATAAGTCTTCATCAAATCATTATTACCTTGGCATAAACCTCTGCCATTTTATCCAAAGGCCAAGATGTGGCTGGTGCTACGGCTACGAATGTGGGTAAAAGTAAACGCTCAATCATTTTCTCCAGTTCTTTGTGACCAGTCAGTCCAGGAATGATGAACAATGGTGCTAATTCTCTGATCTCTAGAGGTCCTTCGCTAACAATTTGCACCCACTCGGGTTCCTGCTTTGCGTTCTTCTGTTCTCTAATGATTTCTTCTATAGACGGAATCACGTTACCCAAATCTGGAATATTGGTGAAGAGGGTTGAAATAATTAAAATTTTCTTTCTGATTGGAGAAATGTGAACTGCATATGAAAGAAAAGAAGTCAAAATATATGGAAGATAGGGAAAAATAAAAAAAAACAAAGTAGAGCATCTAAAAACTGAAGTGATCATGGTAAAAACCGGAAAAATGAAACTAGAACGAAAAATTTCGAGATAACTAATAACAAATGGAGAAATTGAAAATATAGTTGGGGTATTGAAATCGCAACCGAATGGTTAGGACACATAATGGAAAGGAAATCAACCTAAAAACACTGAAAAATGAAATATGAAAGATAATGATGAACAATAGTTTTTTAGTTCTTGTTGCACTTGTTGCATTAACTAATGGCTATGTTAGCTTGCAGTTCAGATTTTGTTCCATTGAAACTTCTTCTATACAGTTATGAAAGACACTTTGAAAAAAATTATCTATTGGTCGTATCACCCTATGAATTTGGTGGTAAAAATAGCGCAAGTTGAAAAAGACAAAATTGCAACGACGCGTTCATTTAAAAACCACATGACCCATTTCTACATATACCTTCTCTACTCTAAAGGTAATTCTGAATCATCAACCTTAACTCGTTTATGCAATGTCTTCAGGATTCATGAGCCTCCTACATGAAGGCAGAGTCCTAACTGACTTGCAATTCAAGTAACCTTGTTGGGTACATGGTTACAAAGGAATTGAATGAAATGAGGAAACTAATGTCCACACCAAGGAGGGTGTCAAAATACTTCTTTCTCTGAATAAGTTTCCTACAGTAGAGTCTTCATCAATTAAGACATCACTGGAGTGAAGAAACGCAAAAAATATGATAGGAACATCGCTGGAAGGAGTCAAGCCACTGAAAGGGTTTAACAAATAGAGCCTGCCAGTGTTTATTGAGATATTAGATATGTGAAATGTGTCATTGAAACTATTGAACATTTGCTTCTGGAATACCAATTTCTGGTCTCGAAGCTTAAGTACTTCGAAAGGATAACATTGATGGTCTGTGATATCAAGAAATTGCTTCTCAAAAAACTTGTTCAGGCATCTTCATAAGAATTAAGTTTTTCAATGTTTCGGACCTTACCTTTTATAGCACCCTGAATAGTAACATCGTCAATGTCTAGTCTCTTTTTCACTAAAACATTATCTACTCTCGAGTTCAGTACGGCATCCAGAACTGATATTCCGTCCTTCATGTCCAGACTCTCTTGCCACTGGATGTTGAACGTCGAGAAACCGGCTTCAGCTCTGGAGAAGCAAATTCCAGCAGCAGAGTTGATGAAATTGATGACTGTTGCTTTTGGAGCCGTCGTTCTCAAAGCGCTGTCGAGATATTGAACTGGCTTGGTGTCGCTGATTCTCGTTCCTGTTGTTTTGTTGGGAAGAGTGAATACCAGATGTAGCGGTCCTATGGAATAAACTTCTGACAAAAGTTCTGCCGCGCCCTCTTTGGTACTTGCTTTGGCGGACGCCGTGATGATGTCTACCCCGAAGTGGGTTTGTAAGAGGGAAAGTCTGCGACTGATGTAGTTTTGGGTTGGTTTTATATCTGCGGAAACTACTATTCTCTTGGCTCCATGTAGCACCAGCCATTCTATCACATCGGCACAAATTTCCGCTGATCCACCTTGAATAAGAAACGATTAATAACAAGGAAACACAAGTATGTTCTGATATTGAATGGAAAGTTGTACTTTCGTTAACTCACTTTTTGTATCTTGGCTAGTTTCGAAAAATGTATATTGATTCGACTTCATAGGTGTTAGTATTTCGATTTCAGTTCATCTCATTGTGAAAGACTCGGAAACCAATATTGTGCTTTGAGGCGAAGTACATAAAGAATCTAGTGATTTTAAAACAGTCGTTGTGTATTCGTTACTGAATTCACTTGTTTTTTATTTACCTCCATAACTGTTTTGGGCAATCATCTAATGGAAAAAATTACAGTCAACAGAAACTAGCTTCGATATACCCGGGGAAAATGTTTTTGTCGAATGTGTTGCTAATTTCGATTCACGCCTCAGTTCGCAATTTTCAAATTTGACAAAAAAACTTTGAGTTTGTCCTGGTGTCATAATAAAGCAGTAATCGCTATTTGAAACCAAATGTTGAAATATTGGACAATCCTCTGTGCTACGGGTTCATATCTGCTTCTAAATGTCTGCGATCAATAAATATTTATATGATATAATTTGAGACATATAAGAAAACCTCATTTCCATTTCGACCAAAAAATTATGCGATCTGTATGTCATCGTTCTACGTGGTAACAGTGCACGTCCTTTCGTTCAATGCACAAATCTCATACGCTTATCGATTTAATTTCGAAATTATTGAATAACAGTGGTTGTTTTATACGCTAGCATACATTTTCAAAAATAGGTAATCGTATTTTCGGAACAGAAAAAATGTTCTTGTTCATGGAAAAGTGCCCCAAATTATCGCGAATTTACTTCACCTCGTACAAAAAAAGTTATGAGATTTTTGATTCGCGGAAAATCTCCGAGTTAATTCTTAATATTAGGACAAAAACCGTTAATATAATAATCTATAATTAAAATCTCGCGAATGTTGACACAATCACAAAAATCACATGTTTATTATCGGGAGTCAAACAAGTTTCTGGAAGATGAATCACTGGAAAAAATCATAATTTTGAAAAAAAATTGTTCTATCACCATGAATTAGAAAAAAAATGAAAGTCTAGAAATAATATAGGGAAAATTGAACTCTCATTTCATTAGCGGAAAATTAGGGGAAAAAATTGGGTTGAAGGAACGTGAAGCAAAAGCTCTCTGTTCGCCGACATTGTTTCTGAAACCAATCAGTACGATGGAAATTGAGGATATTATTGATAATTTTCATTCAAAAAAGTGGAAGGCTGAGATAAAATCACTGTCAAAATTATAAAGATACTCAAATTTCAGTTAACTCCATTTTGATCATAAAATATTAGTGAAATACAGAACAGTTTGTGAAAATTGTGGGTTGTAAGGATTTTTATTAGGCCCAACACTTTTTTCATTCATTTGAATTCAATATCAAATTTGAAACTGAAGGAACATGATAAACTTCAAAGTGATGATAACGTTATATTTCAGTAAACATATTGATGTCACACATGAAATGTGAATTCTGATAAATCATCTTTATGCATACTCATAAATAATATTACCATGCTATTTTTTTCTAATAACCAAACTATTTCCTATAAATAAGTTACCATATTACCTGGTCTCTATATTACTGACATTTTTGATTAGCTGAGTCCCCATTCGGGGCTCTGCCATCTAAAATATTTAGAATACTTCAAAAAGATTACAAAACGAGATAATGAAATCTATTTATGGATCATCCCATTTGGAACCGACTATAAATTTATATCAACCAAGGTGAAAGTGCATAAAAATACACACTGTTTACTACTTTCCAAAATTCCAACAAAAAAAGTTGAAAAATTGAAGATATCCATATTTATGATGCCAGGCAAATGAACTGTTTTGATATGGATCGATTCAACAAATCACTTTATTATTGATCCAGGGTATCGTTATTTATAGTCGGTTCCTAATAAGATAAAAACTACAACTTTCCTGGAGAAAGATGAAAAAGAATCTCTCATGATTGAAGATGTTCATTATATTGTTCGACTTTTTTGAAATATCTAATATAACAAATTCATTTCTTGTGATAAATAAAGGAGTAGTTACTCAAAATAATGTTTCTTAATCTTCAACAACAGTATGTAGTATTCAATCAGTGTCATACACATTGAATCAAAGATGAATCGCGGAGGTTCATCATTTTCAATTGAATACTTACCATATACTAGATAAGACTGCTTCGCATTGCAAATGAAGGTATTAGGCTTCTTCACGTTGAGTTTATTAACGCTGAAATTGTCACTGATTTTCAACACTATTTTACCAATGTGTCCACTGCTCTTCATTTTACTGTAATGAAACAAATAGTAATAAGTAACCAACCGCTTAGTTCATTGGATTAGGTTGAGACAAAATAAGTAATGACTGGCTACTTGGTCAACAACAACAGCGTAATCATGACGCAGCCACCATATTCACCAGTTTTGCCACCATCGATTTCTTTCTGTTCCAGAGATTGAAGAGACCTATGATTCTTTTCACTTCAGCAATATATATATAAAAAATGATGGAGGTTCCAATAGTAATCTCTGTGAAACCACATGTGTTAAATTCCCACAGTGACTGATATTATGTTTCATGTTCTCGATTTTCAAAATATTACTCACCTCAGCATATTATCTACGTCGTTGCGAGTCATCACCTGTCTCACCAACGGCCGAACTGTGAAGTTTTCAATTCCATTCTCCACAAGCTCTCGGATTTCTTTCTTGACTTCCCTTGGTAGAGAGCAAATATTGTTCAAGTCAACGACGTAAAAGGAGGGGTTTCTAAGGAAACAGTACATTCCAATAGTGTTTCCCTCTTCAGTATCATACTTTCCGTAATGAACGAACCGCCCGAAGTTTGCGATACAGTCTAAAGAACTGCGGAGCAGAGGTCCAGAGACGCAGTTGAGAATCACGTCGGCTCCTTTGCCGCTTGTGACTTCCATCAGTTTCGATTTGAAGGAACAGTCATCAGAGTTGAGGATGTTAGATTCATTAATCTTGAATAAAAAATTGAAATGAGCATGATGTAACGAAGATACAGTTACAGTCTTTAGAAAGAATCAAGTTGTATGGAAAAGATTATGATGCGAATGAATGAATAGAAAAACTTCTTTGGGTGTTTAACAGTAACTGTAAATTCATCGGTTGAACGGTTAACTTCATCAGTTGCTGTTCAGCATCGTCATTTGAAGGCTGCTTCTGGAAAGCTTGGAACACTGTTCCGAACCAGAAAACTGTACAAACTTCAGCAACCTTTGATGCTTCATAAAGCTCAGATCAGACCTTTCTTGAAGTATTGTTCTCATGGATGGAACACCGCCTCTAAGCATAACCTGGAGCTGCAGAAATCCATCCAGAAAAGAGCCATCTGCCTGGCAATCTTAATTGTCTGGAACATCGAAGAAAGGTTGGAGATTTGTTTCTCTTTTATATACACGTGAACAGGAGATGTTCAAGTGACTTGGGAAATTTGATTCCACCAAGAGCGGTACATATCAGAAGTACGCGACGGACTATGGTTGCTCATCGTTTTGGGGCTCAACTCAGTACACCTCGAACTTCACTGTTTGAGAACTAATCCATCTGGAGAACTGTTTTTATGTGGAATTAACTTCCTTAGAACGTTTTTCCAAATGGATTTAATCTTCAGCGATTCAGATCCAATGTGAATCGCTACTTTTGCATTTATCATTGCTGTTCGTTTTTTGAAACTTTTATATTTAGCATAATACGTTTCCCTTCATATGTAGGGGAACAAAAAAGTATATACAGAAAAAATCGACGGGATTGAGGTCCGGTGATCTCGGGGGCCAATGCTCAGTGCCTCCTCTTCCTATCCATCGTTGATTTTGTGCAGGTTTCGTTCCGTCCTATAACCTGACCCACCCTCCCAGCAGCTTTTTGATCGAAAATGTCATTCTGAGGAATTACAGCTGACAAAACAGTGTCGAGTGAGACTCCTCCTAAGAGGGTGGGAGGAACAAAACCTCCAGTCAAACACGGGACGATTAAACCCAGCAAGTCTGAAGCTGCTGAGTGTAATAAGTGGTTGTATTAATGAGACAGTTCAAATTGGCGCATTATTATAAATGGAGATATCTACTGCCAGCGCCAGAATTGACTGGATGCATATGGTTGTGTGGACGCATTTGGTTGTGTTCATTAGAACATCATAACCAAAAAGTGTCTGCGGACCTTCACTATCGATGAAGGATCTATGGACGTCTCAGAAAAGACTAGTTTCAGACCGTACTTTAGTTTTGTGCAGATTGCATTCCCTCCTATAACCTGGCTACCCTTTCAGCAGCTTTTTGCTCGAAAGTGTCATTCTGTGGAATCTGGTAGAGCTGAAAGAACGGTGTCGCTTGAAACTGCTTCTAAGAGAGCGAGAGGAACCGAACCTCCAACCAAACACGGGAAGTTAAGTCCAAAGTGAGTGGGTCTCAAATGAAAAATCAGATCGCTAAATTATTATCATGGCTCTCATGTGTGAAATACTCTAGGTGTTCATACACTATTCGAAATATGAATTTGAAATACTCACGAAAAGGAAGTTTTTCTGCAAGTAAGCTCTCTGTGTATCATTGGAGACTGATACGTAAACGTTGCAACCATAGAGAGTTGCTATTGAAGATGCTGCCAGGCCAATTGGTGAGCACCCTGCGTGGATAAAAACGGTATTTCCCGGTTTTAATTTCGCAACGGTCATCAGCATGTAGTAAGCCTGAAATAAATTTGGGATAATTTTAGTCATTTATTCGTATTTTATGTCGATCATACATTATATACTCAATAACAAAAATTGTGACCTATTGAAGTTGACTGTGAATTATTGACAATCCAAGAATGATTGGAAATAACCACAGTTATACTTACGCTGGCAAAAGCATGAGGCACTGTAGCGCCATCCTCTAGAGTCCATTTCTTCGGTATAGGCCACGTTAGCACCGGATCCAAAACCAGTTTTGAAGTGTCTTTATCCAGTCTCCCAAGTCCCATAACTCGGTCCCCGTTCTTGGTAATACCAGAATAATCGATGTTACCGACTTCGTTTCTTTTCTGGGTGGCCGGATTCAAAGTATCGTCTTTCAAATTTACGCTCAAATAGTTTATATTCAAATTTTCAATCATACTAGAAATAGACGTATTGTTCAGTTCAATATCGTTTTTATATTGAGTACAGAACGGCAGGTAAGTGTACCACGCCCCAGCTTTCAATATCTTCAGCGTGAGATCTCTTTGCAGAGCAAATTTGATATCGAAGGGTTTTTTGTCCAAGTTGAAGATGACTTGGAGACTTCGCGTATTTGGTAGCGACTTCAGTTCTCTTACGAAATTGTGGAAACCTTCGACGGGCACCAGGGTTGTGATGAGGCACACTTTATTTTGAGTTGGGGCAGCTTCTTCGAGAGCAGCGTGGAGTTCCGATGTCCAGCTAGCAGATGAACGTTTAAGGTCTTTGGCACTTAGAGTGTCCCCTTTGACGCTGACGATACGACTATTTTCTTTGACGATCTGAAATGGTATACATTTGAATGAAAAAGATACAATGATATAATACTCATGATATTCAACTCTTTGATGGAAATATGACTCTATAAGTCTTCAGGAAAGAAAAACGTTCTCACTATAGTACAATGCAGTTGGGAGTACCTAGTAAAATAATACCAGAGTATGATTTTATGTAAATATCCTAGGTACGTCCCATTCATAACCCTGGGGTACCATCGGTACACTGATTCGAATGTAATGATATTCAACAATGTAACTGAAATTCATTTGGGAATTCATCGTACTAGCAGATAGTTGTTGGTTAACAGATGGATAAAAAACACATTCAGATTCTGGTGCAGGTGTTTTCAGTTGCAGACCCAGGACAGAGATGTCAACTTGCCTAGATGTCAACTTGCCTAGTTGACAGAGATGTCAACTTGCCTGGTGCAGGTATTTTCAGTTGCAGACCCAGGACAGAGATGTCAACTTGCCTAGGAACCTATGCGACTGTATTCCAAGCGGAATTTTACGCTATTGAATTGTGTGAGGAGAGATAGGAAGAATCCAACCTCATACAAAAGTCAATAAAAATATTCTCGCACAGTCAAGCGGCGTTGGAAGCTCTTGGATCCTACTGAGCAACGTCTAAATTGGTAGCAATTTGCCAAAACCGACTTTCCTTAATAGGAAGACTTAACAGATTACCTCTTGTCTGGATTCCTGACTATACTGACCTGGAAGGCAATAAGGCTACTGACTCTCTTGCAAAGGAGCAAAGAGCAAGCAGCCCACATGCTTTGTGGCTGCCCCGCTGGGGACATTTCAATTTGAGACTCTTTGATTATTCACAGCTTGGTTAAATTTGTCTGAGTGTTTTCAATCAGGATTCACATAGGTGGCTCACATGACTTAAAATTCTAAAGATAAGTCTATCCATCATCCTAAACTTTTGCATTCTTCTATAGGGATATTTTTTGTTGTCGGAACTGATACTGAGAATCGCACAAAACAGAATCATAGTGAGCTCTTGACCTGAATAACATGAAAATAGACTTGTCCCCAAGTTAAGAGCGAAGGAGATGTCAAAAAGCTATTGAAGATCTTGTATAATAGAGATATTGGTCTAATAATATAACTGCCTGTTGTTCATTCAATGGTGAATTCTACAATCGATAATATATTTGTGGAAATTTTATACTTACATTAAAAGTAAACAGAGCAGGCCCCAAAATTGATCATTGCAGTACCTAATAGAGGCGACACTCGATCTGATTCTGTCTAATTATTAACTACTAATGAAGGAGAGGTGAAAAAAACCCAATTAAATCGATCATTGTATCATCCACCAAGAGAATCAAAACAGAGGGCCTAAGTCCTCTTAAACTTCGAAGTGAAATTGTTTTAAACTACCAATGAAAAAGAGATGAAAATAAATTTAATGAAATCGACCATAGAATAATTCACAAAAGGACAAAAATAGATGGCCTAGGACCCCTAAAACTCTGGTTTGAAGAGATAAATCTATCGGGGAGGTCAAATATCAGTGGTACTTGGAACAACTTGAATGTTGTAATAGAGAACCAACACATATGTTGTAATAGAGGTGGTTGAAAGAAGGTGGTAGGTAGCTGTGACACTGGCCAGATGCACCCACGGAAAGACAGGGGGTTTTAATCAGATATGATGTTTCGTATTGGGAATCACACGTTAAAAGGTAAGACCTCGTTAGTCCTTAGCTCGCACAAGTTTTTCAACTTCTGAGAGTTGTCGTTCGTATGGGAGCGGCAGCTGATTAACGGAAAAACAGATTCTTTAAACAGATTCTGTATCATGGTAATTAAACCCATGATGAAGAATGCATCTTTGTTCTGGTTGCCAAAGATGAAACAAACGAGCGCTATTAATAAAATAAGCAGGGTACAAGGGCTTGTACGTTTGAGAATAACGAAAGAGATGGAAACCTATCCTGCAGCTGCATTAGAGGCAGTCTTGAATCTTCTTCCCAGACAGGAAACATCATCAAGTTACAAGAGATTAGACAAAACAGATATTTTGGAATATGTGCAAGAAAGACCATCGAACATGTTCTCAGATAAATTGACACCAAAATACATGTTCTACACAAACTTCGCTGCTGAAATCTCAAACCGCGAAGATTCGCACCAAAAAAATGCTCGACCGATACAGACGGGTTGAAAACCGAACATGGAACGAAAGCTGGAATTTACTATGCGGGGAGAAATCTTCCTTTTAGTTACTCACTAGATCAGTTTACGTCAGTTTTCCAGGTTGAAGTTTATACACCCTTGCAATGCCCAAAAAGCATTGCTTTGAGGCCCCAACGAAATGAGCGTATCGATATTTTCACAGACAGCCAGACTCACTTGGGGCTATGACCAACCCAAAAGTAACGTTGAGACTGGTCTGGAAATGCCGTGGAGAACTGAGGGAGTTGGTGGATAGAATAGATTGACTATATACTGGATGTAAGGACACCCAGCCATCACAGGCAACGAAAAAGCTGATTGTGCAAGACACGGATCATCAACTACATATTAAGCTGAAGGGGTACCAAAGTCTTTGCTGAGGAACCAGATTGGAAAGTGAGTCCATCAGAAACATTGAGATCACTATAAAAATTCTCGTATATCCGGGAGCACACACGGAAAAACTTTTATAAAGCGACCTTCCGAGAGGGAACTGAAGAATTGCTCCAAACCTTGAAAAAGGTTGTACAACGAAGACCTTAGCAGCAAGTAATGCAACAAAAAAACAAAGACTGTTCGTCATATTTCATGCGAAGCAAACAATTCATGGACAACCCAAATACTATCCAAAAGAATATTACATAGTACCTACTCGTACAGCTAAGAACCTGTAGAAATTAGTTCAGGGCACAAGAATGTGGAAATGTTCATCAAGGAAATGAAGGGAATAAAACACAATAAAAGCTACAGTGTTTTTCGGAGACTTGAGAGATATAAACTAGTGTGAAGACAAAGCATCTGAAGTGTTTGCACAGATTTGTATGACCAACTGAATGAAATAATTTTTTTGTAGTATTGGAGTACAAGGCAAGCAATATTTTTTCTTCTATGTAAAAGTCGGTTTTCAATTCATCTGTATGCCAATTTATCAAAGTAATATACCACAATAACTATCTGTAAATTATCTTTACAAATTCTTTAATAATCCAGAATATCTAGGAAAACAGGAATGTGTTTCTGAGAAGTTATGTTGGTGAAATGCTACCGCTTATAACGGTCTGATCTTTTTTAACTGAAAAATTATTCACTTACCTTTCTGAGAATAACATATTCATGAGGACCCACCCTGAACTGTGCCACTGGAAAGAGGTTAGGGTGGGATAATAAGGATTTCTCAGCTTTTGTGAGAAGGAAAGCTCCCGATGAAATTGTCAACCTTAACATTTCCTCTGAAGCAGGTCCATTGACAGCAAACAGTTGAGGATATGCTGGATGAAGAATAATGCGGCTCACTTCTTCTACTGTTGAGAAATGTACCTGGAATGTTCATGAAATTATTGTATTTTACTGTTGTATCCGAAATTAGTATATGATTATCAACATCTCACTTCAACTGAAAACAAATATGATATAAAATTTTACCATAAATTGAATACCGTCGATACCAAGACAAGAACACTCAGTCATAGATTTACTAGAATCCAGACTCTACACTAGTGAATGAGTGATTCTTGTAGGAAAAATGGAAAACTAATGCCAAAGCAACATTTCTTTCAGTTGTTGGACGTAGACAGACCAGTCAGTTGAAAAACAGGGGTGCATACATTGTTTGTGCAAATGGACATTTGCAGTATTTAGTAGTGAAAATGAAAAGGTTTTCATGCAATAACGTTTATGATTTGTTCTCGAAATAGATGGATATGAAAGAATGCAAAATTATTTTTCGCTCCACCGTTTTGGCGGGAGATGACCGGTTGGCGGGAGATGACCGGTTGGCGGGAGTTGGCAGTTTTCCGCTTGATTATGGGTTCCCATATTTTGCGTATCTGTACGCTAGCTTGGTTGAATTTGTTGTTGGACAACGTATATGCGGCTTCTTTGAATTTCACCCTGAACCAGTGTTCCGCCCTCTGGATGATCTCAGCTTGAAACCATTTCATGTTCTGCTCAATATAATTGTTTCTCTCAGCTATTCATTTCAATTTCAATTTCAAATACAAAGAAATACAGGGTGTAACTAAATAAGTGTAAAACATTCAAGAAGGTGATTCCTCATCAAAAAAAGTTAGGATCTTTCATATAAAGAAATTTCATTGGAGCATCCCTTGTTAAGATACAGCCCCTTGAAGGGGGTACATAAAATTTGTATAACAATTTTCTTCACAAGCACGAAAGAAGTTACAATATTGAAATCAATCTGACATTTTGTACTACCAAAAAGACACTTAGCCAGAAATTTATTTGGTTCACCCCATGGTTGTAAGGGGTGGAAAACGCAACCCCAAAAATTTATTTCCAATGAAACTTTTTGTCTTATTATTTGTTTACCATTTAAAAATTTATTTCTGACAGCCTGTTTCATTCTAAACAAAAAATGTCTCTTGGATTTTTTGCCCAAAATAAACCAGTTCGCAGCAAAACATTATTTTAGGAACAACTACAAAGATACATCGTCATAAATGCGAAAATACGAAACTAATCTATCTAGTATTTTTTTATGCACGATGGGGCTCCCGCCCATTTTAGTAAAGTAGCACGTCAGCATTCAACTGAAACATATGCAAGGAGGTCGAGGAGGACCACAGAACTGGCCCACTCGATCCCCGGATCTCAATACTCTCGATTTCTCTATTTGGAGCCATTTACAGCATTTGGTTCATCGTACTCCTGTTCGCGATGTAGAGGACTTGAGAAACTGCATCATCGATGCGTGCAGGGTAATCAAAGATTCTCCAGGAATACGTGGCTCAATGCGCCGACATCTAAACGCATGCGTAATGTCTGAAGGTAGACATATTGAACATTTACTATGATTTCTACATGTTGTGTGTTTTGTTATTAATAAATTTAGTTTTGTTTATTACCTTTCAATCGTATATTGCAGGTACTAACTACAAAATAACAATAAATCCAGTTAGCATATATGACGATGTATCTCTGTAGTTGTTCGTAAAATAATTTTTTGCTGCGAACTGGTTTATTCTGGGCAAAAAACCCAAGAGATATTTTTGGTTTAGATTGAAACAGGCTATCGAAAATAAATTTTTAAATGGTAAACAAATAATAAGACAAAAAGTTATATTGGAAATAAATTTTAGGGGTTGCGTTTTCCACCCCTCACAATCATGGGGTAACCAAATAAATTACTGGCTAAGTGTCTTTTTAGTAGTCAGGTTAATTTCAATATTGTAACTTTTTTAGTGCTTGTGAAAAAATTTGTTATACAAATTTTATGTACCCCCTTTAAGGGGCTGTATCTTAATAAGGGATGCTCCAATGGAATTTCTTTATATGAAAGATCCTATCTTTTTTTTTTGATGAGGAATCACCTCTTTGAATGTTCTACACTTATTCAGTTACACCCTGTATAATAAAGAAATGTGTCATTTATTCGTTGATCTACGCGGTTGCCAAAAAAATTATGTACGCAACACGTCTTAGAACAGATTTTTCCAGACTTGATACGTAAATTACTATTTATGTTCCTATAGAAGTGTTCTATAATAAAAGTATGGAGCATTAGGAATGTTCACGAGCATATTACACATTTTATAGAAAATATTTTCAACTTATTCATTCACGAATATTGTCTTTGATAAGGTTAAATGTGCATTAATGTTAAAAAAAATGGTAGAACTGGAATTTCACAACTTTCAACGTAGGAGCCCGATGTTGCCCGAATTTTTTTTATTTTACAGAGCCATTTGTTGGCATTTTTCTTTCGTTGGGGTGCCTTATCATGTCAGTAGTGAGATTTCCATTGAGAAATGGAAACCAAAATGCTCTGTGGATTTTACCCGTATTCTAGTGAGGTTAATTTATTTGATCATCCTTCCGAGTGAACCTCTAGATTATGAGGCATAATGCCAACGAATTATTCTATGAAATACAAAAAATAATGCAATCAGTCTATAATGTTGAACGTTATGAAGTTCTGAAGGAATTTTTACGAATCTAAACGTAATAACTCACACTTACTTTAATTACTTTCGATGCACTTGAAACATTTTTCATAGCACTAGATAGAAAGTCATCAGTTTCCAACTCAGTTAAGTATAAATTTCTCTCCTCTTGGCCAATCTCATCTGTTCCCGCCAGTTGGATGGCGAAGTCAATGGCTGCTTCAATTTTCTAGGGGAAATATACATAAAATCAGAAGTGATTTCGAAATTATATAGATTTCACTCCTCACCTCGAATGTCCCATTCAAAGGAACACACTCCATTCCATCGAAATATATGCGATCTTCGATGTCAAGAGGAGCAGTGATCATGCCGGTCACCTCTATGCCATCGGTGGATATTATTGAAGTCGCATACTCGAAGGTGATTTCAGTGTCGGTTGTCTGGATTGGCAGGAAAGGGAGAGAAAGGGCGATCTTCCGAATGAACCTAGGTACATGGATCTCCTGGTTCCTCTCACCAGTTAGGAACAGTTGTTGCTGCAGCATGGCTTCTAATAGATACGTCCACTTGTTGTTCCATTCGACGTGGCTGACTGTTCCTGAAAATTATAGTTTTTTTCGAAAATGAACAGCAATATTATTTCTGAAAAACGATCGGTTGTGTAACAGGATCAATTCCTTTAAAAAACAATTGTGTTCTTGCCGACGTTTCGAATTCAATTGAATCCTTATTCAGGGTTCGAAAAGTAACTTCTTCGTGTTGATAATATTACTACCATTTCAAAAACCATCAGACATATTAGATACATACAAAAAAAAAACATTGCAACAACCAAATTTTAGAGACAACACCAAACAAAATGACATGAAAAAAACATATGTCATTTTGTGTTGCTGTTTTCTCGAGCCCTAGAAGTGAACAAAATTCGGGCTATTAGGCCTTGATCGAATGGAACTTGAAGTACTAGAGGTTTCGTCTGCCACTGCGACAAACATCATCAGTGACATGTGTGTTTACTGTGAGGACGAAAGTTATGTCTCGTGGAGGTTGGTTTCATCATATATTGATGAAAATTTATCGTGGACAAAACATATACCTATGTATTAAAATTATTCGAAAAAAAGTAGCACCTCTTATTGATACCTATATAATTCTTTTGAATTTTTGAAAAAAAATAATTTCAGTCTTTTATAATTAGGAGTGCATTATTTCATTTATTTTTGGGGATCAGCCAATACATCCATAATAAAACCTTTGAAATCTTTACAAAATGAAACTTTCAAATGATAAAGGTATCAATTATCATAATTCCTTAGATTTGAATACAATATACAAACGAAAAGTACGAACACCACAGCTTGAGAAAGCAGTACTAATTGAAGATTTGATTGAAGAACAACCTACTACCAGTACTAAAAAGATTGCTTTCCAGCTAAATGTTAATCATATGACGGTATTTCGAATGTAGTTTTTCTCGGGACAAGATTATTAAATTTCATAATTACCACAAATGGTGAAAACCCTCACGCTATTGTCGAAACTAACCATCAAGAACAGTTTTCTCTTAACGTGTGGCTCGGAGTTATTGGGGATGATTTAATTGGGCCTCATTTTCTACCTCCTCGATTAAATGGTGAGGCATACGTTCAATTTTTAAGAGAATTGCATCCAGTTTACTGAGGCAAACTCACTACACATCGTTCAGACGGGTCGTCTTCCACGAATGCGTGAGTCACGCCAGCGTGCGGGGCATTATATGCCCCGTTCCCACGGGGCGTGGCCAGCCTGCAGGTACTAACTACAAAATTTCAATAAATCTAGTTCGCATTTATGACGATGTATCTCTGCAGTTGTTCGTAAAATAATTTTTTGCTGCGAACTGGTTTATTTTGGGAAAAAAACCCAAGATACATTTTTTGTTTGGAATGGAATATGCTATCGAAAAAAAAAATTCAAATGGTAAACAAATGATAATACAAAAAGTTACATTGGACTTGAATTTTAGGGGTTGCGTTTTCCACCCCTTACAACCATGCGGTGAACTGAATAAATCACTGGGTGAGTGTCTTTTTGGTCGTACAAAACGTTAGTTCAATTTCAATATTGTAACTTTTTCAGTGCTTGTCAACAAAATTGTTATAGAAATTTTATGTACCCCCTTTAAGGGGCTGTATCTTAACAAGGGATGCTCCAATGTAGTTTCTTCACATGAAAGATCCTATCTTTTTTTCGATGAGGAATCACCTCCTTAAATGTTTTACACTCATTCAGTTACACCCTGTATATGTTTATTAAGTTTAATATTATAAAATGATAAAAAACATTGCAACAACCAAATTTCCGAGACAACACCAACAAAAAACGACATGAAACAAACGAATTAATCACAGATACAGCCATTGGTTTTTTTTCATGTCGTTTTGTGTTGGAAATTCGGTTATTGCAATGTTTTTTTTTCAATATGTATCCAATATGTTTGATCGTTTTCAAAATAGTAATATCATCAACACGAAGAAACTACTTTACTACTTTTCGGGTCCTGAGGAAGAGTTCAATCAAATTCGAAACTTCGGCAAGGAAACGATAGTTTTTTCTAAGAAAATTTGATTCTGTTACCTAACCAACCTTTCTTCAGAAAAATTATTGAATCACTAAACTGAACTCAAACAAAACTTCCTGGTGCTTCCTGAGGTCACCTTCAAAAAATCCCACTCTGTTCTGTGTGAGCAGAGCATCGTGAAGAAAGCAGGTATATTTCTGAGAAACTTGAATTCATCAAGGTAAAAAACCTGCTTTATTCTATATCGTTTTTGAAGTATAGCGTCTTCCAAAAACGACTTCCAAACTTTGACAATTGATAACGGCCATCTTGCTGAAGCTACATCTGTCAAATTAGTTGTCATTCACTCAGTATCTCTTGCCACATCATCGTGGAAGGATGTGGCATTCAACAACACGCGCAAATAATGACATTGTTTCAGCAAAATGGGTGTTCTGTTCGGCAACGTACCGCGCGCTTCGCCGATTTCACGGTCGCAATAATCGTCCTACTGTAAGGACTATACGCAATGTAGTGGATAAATCTGAGTCCACTGATTCAGTGAACTATCGAACAACACCCGTACGTCAACGAAACGCAAGATCTTACATATGTTCGCTGATCCTAATTCTCATCAAAGAATCTTCTTCGGCGATGAGGCCCACTTCCGGATAAATGGGTACGTGAACAAACAAAATTGGCGAATTTGGGACGATACCAATACACATTGAATCCCGAAAAAGTCACTGTTTGGTGTGGATTTTGGGCTAGCGTCGCCATAGGTCCACATTTCTTTGAGAACGACGTTGGCTAGGACATCACTGTCAACAGCGAGCAGTATAGGTAAATGATCACCAACTTCTTTTGGTCCGAATTGAATGATATGGACAGCAACGAAATGTGGTTTCAGCAGGACGACCCTATATAATAGTGAATTCCAAAATTGCTGTATGCTATATAAAAACATTCCGGCTATCACGGCCTTATTCGAATGGAACTCGAAGTTCCAGAAGTTTCGTCTACGGCAAACATCATCAGTGATATGTGTGTTTTCTGCGAGGACGAAAGTTATGTCTCGAAGTGTCAGTTCATAGTATATAGTATAGTATATAGTTCATAGTATATGAATTTCATTCATTTTTAGGGATCAGCCTGAATATATCAATAAAACCTTTGAAATCTTTACAAAATGAAACTATTAAATGATATAGGTATCAATTATCGTACTCAGAACCAACAGTGAATTTGTATAAACCAAAAAATTCATTCGATTTGAACATGACATACAAACAAAAAATTTGTTGTTTTGTTCACTCAATAACAAATAAATAAAAAATTGCAAACATAAGTATTATAGAAATTATTAGTATTCATTGTCATAACAGTAGACGAACAAAATTATCATCAGTTAGTAATTTCAAATCTAATTTTGAACAGAAGTCAGTTCATCTTGATGGAATTATAATATATAATACAATTCCTGAAGAACTGAAGAAATCTTAAACTGCTGTCAAATTCAAAAATCAATTGAGAAAGTACTTAATGAATTCAATTCAAAATACAGGATTATATAATTTTCATATAGCCGAAATCATCTGAATATTTTATATTGAATCGGGTTTTTATTCGATTATTTATGATTAAAAAAATCTATATTTTAGTTTTCAATACCTATCAACAAACTTAATGTTCACTGCTCATATTATTTACTTGTGTTCTCCTGTTCAATATTTCATTATTCTGTTGAATTCGTATCTTCACCTGGAACTGAAGTATTGCTGTGTAAAGAATTTTGTCTTCAACAAATAGTTCTCAATTAGTTTCAAAATGAGATATTTTATATGATTTCAAACTTATCTGGCAAGCCATCTAACTATGAATTGTTTGTTTTGCACAAATTATCGCCCATCTTGGAATAACACGGACTTCTCAGTCCGGCCAAACGTTAGGAAGAAATTCCAACAGATAATAATCTAGGAGCCCGAAACAACAGAGTTTTCTACTCACCATCTTCACTCATCGTCAGATTCTTCAGTGTTTTGAACATTCCCGAATACTTGTGTCCCCTATGTTGCATTTCATTGTAGAAATCACTTTTGCTGAGCTGTACAGCATCAGGAATGAGCTCTACTTCCGCTTTATCCAATTCAAATTCTTCTCCGGGAATGGGGAATAACATTTTACCGGTTAGAAGAAGATCTTTGTTGGAATAGACCGTGAATTCTCCACTGCCAGGCTGAACCAGGGCGTTCAGTGGCACGCATCCATTTTTGGGGATAACAAGAGGTTTTCTGAAATGTAAGTTTTCGAAAACCACTTCCGTTCGCCCTCCTGGAACGTTGTCGGTACATTGGAATAATAGTTCCTAAAAAAAATGACTTGAGAATATGAAAAATATAAACATTCCAATAGTTATGAGTCTACTTTGAACTATAATATCTCGGTGAATACACTTTTGATGTAGTAGAAATCATCGCCAATTGAATAATGATAATAATAATAATGTCTGTTATTTACCAAGGTAAAAAAAGTACATAAAGGAAAATTCAATAGGTTTGGTAAAATCCTGGAGTGGAATTCAGGAGACAAGCGTGTGCAACACGCCGAATCCTGCTCTTCCATTCAACTCCTTTACAATATACAAAACTTAGAAGTATTCATCGAACATATGATGTACAAAAAATTATAGTACCTATGTACTAAGAGAGAGAGAAAAAAAATGAAATGAATAAGAGGTGGGTAATTCATAATGCTTACAGAATGACTTGAATTTTGCATTTTATGCGAGACTTTAGTTGCACGATAGCTGTTTTTCATATAGCCAGTTACGAGCCTGAACCTTGAAAACTGATAGTTTAAATTTTTTTAGATGTGTGGTAAGACTATTGTAATGAGTGTAGATGGAAAAACTGAACGATCTCCTGCTGAGGTGGGGCGCAGTTATTGCATTTTTGTGTCGGATTTCACTTTATGTTCATTTTCACGAAATCGAACTTTATCATAAAGATACTGCGGTGATTTGTTGATGATTATATTGTGAAATAAGGTTAGAGATTGCAATAAGAAACGATTCTTCTTTGACAGCCATTGCGACTGAGAAAGCTTATGAGAGATATGCTGCAACTTACGGATGCCATAGATGTAGCGTAAACAGGAATTTTGGACTTTTTGTATCCTGCTAAAGTCTAGACTATCCAAACAGGGATAATATACAGGTGAACAGTAGGTGAACTGTGAAAGGATGAGAGTCTGGCATAAATTGATTTTTGTCTGAGTATTCAGGTACGCTCGGTGAGGGTAAATGAATCTTAAGTTCGCGTAAGCTCTCTGGATATATAATGAAACTTGCTTTTTGAACCTGAACTTATTATCCAATATCAAGCCAAGATTTGTTGCCTCCGGTACTATATTCAGAGTTGTACCATTCAGAGAAATATTCAATTGAGGTGAATACCTTTGGCAAAATAACTTGGGACCAAACATAAGAACCTGCGTTTTATTAGGATTGAGTTGCAGTTCGTGTTTCACAGAAGAATCATAACCGTTTTGAAGTTTATTATTGATGTCAGCAACAGCTTCATTCACCAATTCTGGTTTAAACGATACATAAAGTTGGGTATCATCAGCGTAAGCATGATACCTACAGAGATTGATCTTAGTCAGTATATTTGAGGTATATAAACTAAAAAGCAAGGGCCCAAGTATAGATCCTTGCGGAACACCGCGCATTAATCTCACCGATTCAGATAGTTCGCCTTCGAGTTTCACCATTTGATGTCTATTAGTGAAGTATTCTTGCATCATCTTAACGGCTGTTTTAGAGAAGCCAATGTAATTGAGCATAGATATTTCTGAATTCAATGAGTCAGTGTCCTTTCACCCTTTTACCAACGTAACACAAGTAGATTGATTCCGTGAGCCTGAAAACTGGGTGCTCGGGGTTCGTTGAAGTCGACGAAGGCCTTTTTTCCTGGTTCTGATTGTCGAAGGTTCCACCGGTGTTATCGTTATATAAGTGCTTGAAGAGATGATAGTCAGTTGGCGAGAGGTCTGGAGAGTATGGTGGATGAGGCAGAACTTCAACTTTTCTTTCCTTTAATTTTCTGACGATGATTTATTCAGCTTCAACCACAGAGGGTTATTAGCTGAATGTGATTTACAAATATGACAGTGACGGTTTTCCGGATTCGCAATTTAGGCTATCGATTGGGCTAGTACAGAATGCTCCAAAAGCGATTCATGAAGCTGCGTTGTGGATTATGTCAAGTTGTTACAGTGTGCTCTTCTGAGCTGAATTATATACTGTGCTACCATAGTCCAGTTGGGAACAGAATAATGTTCTGTACATTGTCATGAGTAATGGGAAGTCAGCTTCCCATAGTGTGTGAGATACAGATTTCATTAAAGCCTCGGTAGATTATAGCATTTTCCTGAGGTGGATTAAGGGGAACGACAGGAGTAAAGGTATTGGAGTAAAGGCACTGCCGACTCTTTACCCAAGGAAGCGGCTGGTTTGAGAATTTTTGGACCCAGTGGTACCCTGGGAAGCTGGCGATGAACAGGAAAAATCACGCTTAACAGTAGGATTTTTGACTGGCGACTGGAAACACCTCCACAATATGGGGCTAGTAGAGACACATCTATGCAGGATGTCTGAACAGGAAGATGAAACTGTCAGGCATGTTTCATGCGAATGTCCGGAGTTATCGTCAATAAGAGAGTGTTTGTTCGGCGAGTCTTGGCCTACACCTGCCGATATAAAGGAAGTGTCTTCCAAAAACCTATCCACCATCCTGGAAAGGACAGGATGAACGATGACCTAGGTGGACATGCTCCTTGGGAGCATGTACAATGGATCACATGTGGCCTTTGTGCTGTGGGCCTACTCTCACCCTCCCTATTCTACAGATACAGATTACATTAAGTTGAGTCCTGTTTGACAAGTTAATTGAAGTGACTGAATATGCGGTTTCCATCAAAGTTTATACAATAGGACTCTACTGTGATGGTTTGGCTCGTTTGCAGAAAGTTATAGTGAATTACAGCAGCCAGTGACCACCGTGCAGTAATTATGGTCTTTTTTTAAGGGTTTTTGCCTGTGGGAAAGTCCTGGAAACTGACACCAAGTTCTTCCGGCATCCCACGCATCGATTGTGATGGGTCAGTCTCCACCCGGTCCCTGAGATCCCCGTTCTGGATTTCTGTAGGTGGACCACTTCGGGGCTCATCTTCGCGGCTAAAATCTTCAGAACGAAATTTAGTGAACCAGAGTCGAACAGTGCGTGATTGCCAATGCTGGTTGATTTTTCAGACTGTTTCGTCAGCGCTTTGGACCAATTTGAAACCGTAGACAAAAATTGACAAAAAGATCTAACGAATCACCTTCTGAAGTTCCCCAATATACCATGACACTAGCATAATTTTCGAGGTGTGGAGTTACAAAAACACATGCCATTGAAACGGGCAAAACTTTTGAAAAAACCTAAAAAATATTGGATACTTACTAGGTAACTGCTGACGGGCAAAATGAATCGTTCATCCAACTGATGCCCAACGCAATCTCTGAATTGTTCACTAGTGAGAGTAATCATGATATTTTGTATTCCGTAACTTGATTGAGAAGTATCTTTTGCTTTTATCCAACGGTCTGCGTGGTCCCAGTGCACTAAGTCGGTAAGAGAACAGGTATTTCTACTCACAGGATATTCTACTTTGGGATATAAGTTTGAGAGATTCATTTCAACTCCAGCAAGATACAATCTGAAATTAAAAAACTTATATGTTTTCATATGAGGAAATAGTTATTGATGAATATACGAAATGAACTGACATAGGTCCAATGTCCAGAAAAAATGGTTTTGGAAAAGGAAAAGGAAAAGGAAAAACATTGTTTGAAGATGGAGGAGTAGAAAACCAAAACCATTCAAACCCAGTTCGATATTAAATGTTCAGCTCATGCTTAGACAAATTCATCGTCACTTACTTTCCCAAATTTTGAAGCAGAAACTCGACACTGCTCTCGGTTTTCCTCTGTGTGAGAGGGATGTTGATTGCAGATTTCATAGATCTTTTGAGAATTGCTTGCAGTAGACCGTGAGGTGCAATTTCAATGAGGACTGCGTCTTCAGGGATGTGCTTGCATCCCTCTTCGAACAGTACGGAACTCAGGAGGTTATTGGTATGGTACTCGGCCGACGAATTTTTTGCTAGATGCGTATTCCAGTTAGTTTCTGGATTTGAAGTACTTATCCATTTGGAGGACCTGAAGAAAAACATCTTTAATGATATAACAGTTTGGGAGACTTTTTTAACTTGCACTCAACAATTGAAAAAGTATGAATGTGGAGATCTTGCGACTTAGATATACCAATTTTATGGATAACAATACTCTGATGATAATTTCAAAACTGAGAAAATCGGTTAAATGGCAACATGACTATTACCATCGATGGAAAGGATGTTCTTCAATTGTTATTTGGTGGATAATACTACAATGAAAGGCGAAAGTGAAGAACATTTCACCAACTTCCATATGACTATATAGTTTACCAAAAGCACCCTCTGATCAATTCATTTTTGTCGAACGAGCAAGTGAAAGTGAAGAGAATCTAATAACTAAGCATTGTTGCTGTTGTCACTCTTTTATCATTCGCTAATATTTGGGATAAAATTATGCGTTCTGGTGACACTATAATTGGTGATCTGAAAGATCTGAAACTGTTGAAAAGACCAGATAGAATGAACGAGTTGAAAAAGTCCGTAACAGTAAGAATACATTAAGGTTTGTAGAAAGCCGTCAAAGATGAAGAGAAATGAAATAATATCTTGAGATACCAAGTAGTAGGGTGAGTGATGTAATTTGTGCATCATGATAAGATATTTCACATTAAGTAATGAAGAGAAGTTGTGAAACTCCCCGGGAACATAATCTGAGAGTGAGAGGGAGAGAGAAACAGATCGATAAAGAACAACTCTGCATCGACATTGTGCTGAAATAGAGTAAAACTATGGAAACACTATAAAGAAGAAGTTTGAGAATGAAAAAAGTATTTTGAATCGACCCCAAAAGAAAAAGACCCCAAAGAAAATTATAAAATTGCATCATGTTCAGCAGTGGCAGTACTCCTCAAAATTCAAACCGCTTGGTTGACTAAACTTCGAAAAATACTCTAAAATACAGCTGAACTGATTCATTTTCTCATCTGGAATATTTCAGAAATTCTATGAGATAAAAGTATATGGGACCTTGACCTTGAAGATAGAGTTGCAAACTTTGGTGTGGAATCATTCTATTGAAATAACTTCTCATCCACTAGAACAATGCATCAGGAGATGACCTCAAGGTCAATCCTTTGGCTATGTACCTATTCAGGTATGAGAAAAGATTTTTTAATGAAATTTCACATTAAACTTGGACTAGAGTCCTAACATAAGTAGAAATCAACAGCCTTCTTCAATATGAAAACTCATATTTCACTACCAAACATCAATATAGGGTGGTATGATTTTGATTTCTACATCATTTCACAGTTACCACCAGGTTTCTACAACGTTCTCCCGGAACATTATTCACCATTCCAAAATTGATTTAAAATCTCTCTATGAAGATCATTTCACTATCAACTATTATTAATCGATTGTAGGAAATAATATGTTCATTCAATATCTAGAAGTAGACTTGCATGTTCGTTTTATAGACAGTAAACATACCCTTCTCTCCCTCTTCTCTTTCATAATGCAGTACCTACCGTGCTGAGTTTTGATAACTACAATATTGAAAGAAACAACGTACCTAGCGACTGGTGATGGTAGCACAACTTTAAGATATTTCAGAAGAAGCGGGCCTGCAGGTTTGATATAACGACTGTGGTAAGCAATGTTGGCCACATTCACCAGCCTAGCAAATACCCCCTCATCCTGCAGTTGTTCCACGAACTTTTCCATATCTTCGGTTGGACCCGACAAGGTGCAACTCTGGGAGCTGTTATGGCAAGCCACTTCGATGTTGGGCGGAAGTCTATCTTTGATCTGGTCATATCCAAGACCTGTAACCAAACGAATGATCGCACAGGTGAATTTGTTTCTGATAGTTTTGTCAAGTCGATGTAGAATAGAGTGATTACTGATTGTTCACAAGCAGATCAATAGGAAATGTGAAATTTGCCCTCGCTTCATGAATATCCATTACAACGTATTCGAATGACACTTTTTTGTGAGAACCGTGGTTTTCTGAACTGTTGTGTAAAAAGCTCATTACAAAGTGATATTTGAATACACCGAATTGTTTATATTCACAAATGGTGTCAGGTGTGGGGTCAGAATAATGCAGTTCAGACAAATTCTTCTCCAAAACGCACGAATTGATTACATCTAAGTTATTCATGAATGTTTAAGTAAAACCAAATTCTCACTTGTGAAATTATTGAACATGAATGTACTGTAAATAAAAAAATATCCAGCATTATCCAAACAAACCTGATAAAAACCCAACATTGTAAAGCCTATTCGAAAGTAAGTGTGAATAATGATGTCGAAAATAGTTCAAATTACTGAACTACTTTCTACATCAACTATGGTACTTACGAGGGGGAATTAATCAAGAGAACTATCGTTGATTTGAGAAAGTCATCAAATGAATATGACTGCGAATATTGACACGCGTCTGACAATGAAATTTATTTTCAAAAAATCTCAATGAGAGGGAGAAGTCGACTTCCTTTCATTTGGAAAGAATGCTAGTTTGGTAACGGTCAGTATCATACTATATATGTACTTAGGTAAAAAAACGTAGTTTTTGTCAGTAATAATTATGTCAGATTGATAAAGATTGAAGCAAAATAGAGAAATTACTGGTTATTCTCAATCAAATAAGTGAAGAGGAAAGAGAATTATTGAGGTATCCATCCTAATGTTCTGTTGTATTAAATAATGCGATTATGTAATGAATATGTCACTCATTCGAAATACTCGCAAATCACGAAGAAAAAATGTCAATCTCCAATGCGCCAAATTCACGGAAGAATGAGAGGTGATGTCAAAATTCCAGAAGCATTACCTATTGCGGCCATCATTCCTGTGATAAGAGTAGCTTCTATCGATGCCATTCCTCTGTAGTAAGAAGCCAGAATCATTTGCTCTGCAGTCATGCATCCATCAGCATAAGCACATCCCAGCTCTCCAACAGAATGACCAATAATACCATCTGGTACGATTCCAAGGCTTCTCATAACATCAGTCAGAGCAATCTGGAAAAGAAGCTCATGAAATCTTTCTACTGTAGATAGTACTGGCAATATTTTTTACCTGAATAGCGGCAATACCAACAAAACAATGCAAAATGGAATCGAATATGGTCTTATCTGATGTGGTGATTATATTTATCAGATCCAATCCCTTGACAGCTAAAGTATCATGAGATTTCTTTATGGAGTTCGCGAAAACTTCAATTTTCATGAAATCACCCAACATACCGCACCATTGACTTCCCATTCCAGAGTAAACGAACCATATTGGTCTCTTGTTGCCTTGATAGAACTGAAAAATGATGTTTGATAGTCGGCAATGTAATTCTACTGAAGTACGTAATGAGCGAAAACAAATGTTGCAGAATTCATTCAATCAGATTTCAAGATTCGTTTATTGCCTGTAAAATAATTATGCAAATTATACAAGCTATGTTGATTTTAGTATTCTCTGTTACTGATATTTTTCATGCTTCTCCTTCCTTGAATCTGTTTTTTTTCCAATTTTGATGGAGTTTTGAGCTATTTCGCTTGATATTCAATTGATTAGGTTAACTAATCTATTGGAATCCCATGCTATGGGTTGACAGATTATTTATGCCCAAATCTCTTCAGCTCTGTCAAAGCCCGTTTCTCACCATTGATGGTTCACTTTTGGATAACTTTATCGCATCTTTCACAAACTGAGCAGAGATCGAAAGCTATAGTACTACTATACTTCAATAAAAAAACGTATCTCTTTTTATGTCAGCAACCCAATTTTTTACGATTGCATATGAAGAACAATGATTTCCAAGGATATCGCATGTTTTCCTCAACCTGCTTGTCTCTCAACCCCTTCAAATACAGGTACTAGGATTGAAGAATATTTTTATATTTCTTCAAATGTTATTTTACAACTCAGATTTGAATTTACGACGTAGCACTAAGTTATTTTTCGTTTTTACGGCTAACTGTTGTGTTAAATTTTTTATTATTTATTTGAGAAACTATTACAAGTAAGTTGTTCAGTCTTCCATTTTCCAAATTACACTTTTCTGGTGCTAGTACATCTTTGCCTGATCATTGTTATTCTTAACTATGAAATTATCCTCAGTGTGGTTTTTTCCTGTCCATAGAGTAACACTTACCTATTTTCCTTGAATACCATAACAATAATAAAAAGGATGGTGTATCGATAGAAATATCAAGTCTATAAATATGAACCAATGGTGTGCAAGATTTTAGAATGAATTTAATTACCTAACAACGCCATTCCTGCCGAAGAAAGACACTTAGAAAAAAAACATCGGAATAAACGATTTCGTAGTTTGAAAGGAAGAAGGAAAAAAATACTCACAGCTGTTTCCTGCTTAGGCTCTCCTTCTCCACGTAGTAAATAACCTCTTTGAAGATAACCTTGTATCGGTTTAGAAAAAATGTCGTGGATGAGTTTGTAATATTCTGGATCTTCAGGTTTGGTTTTCAACTGAAAAAGAATTATAAATCATAGACATTCAAAAGTGGGAAGTAAAGTATTAGATCAATATTTTCCCTTTGCTTCTCATTAAACAAAAAACACTAATAATTTACTATTATTCCATTTGTCGAATTTCTTCGTCAAAAAAATCTGGTAGTGCTACCTATCCAATTTTACCATTCTTTGACGGATCCAAAGTTGAAAAAGTTAAAAACATCAAACTACTTTCAATTTAAGTAACTTATTGGTTCCAAAGGAATAACAACCTTGCTTGGGGCTATAATCTCACCGTTTCTATTATCTCCTTGATTCCGGTTTCTGTTCGTGTAGAAACAAGAAGTAGCATCGGTAAATCTAATTTCCTGTGAACCTTTTTCTTCGGATTCCTTTTGAAAACAACATGGCCGAAACACGAATCAAGACCAAGCGAGTTGACGGCTACATAATCACTGGACCACTCCGTATTTTTGGTAACAACTTGAAGATTTCCGTTGGTCAAGCCCGGAATATCTGGATTGGGGGTTTCGTATTGGAGGGTGGCTGGAATGACTTCTTCTTCCATCGCTAAGAGTGCTTGGACGATGGAGAACAGGGATGAACTGGCTTCGCTGTGGCCTGTGATGGTTTTCACGGAGGTTAATAGGAGGGGTTTTTTCCTGTTTGGACAGAATACTCGTTCTAAAGAATTCAGTTCTGCCTTATCCATCAACTGCAAAACAAAGATGATTTAAAATAGAAACGATAAAACAGAATGATAGGAAAAAATTGTAGTTTTGTAGGCATATTATTTGCAAAGATCTAGAAATTTTTTTCACGCTTCATCACTGCAAGTCTCATAGAGCTATCAGAACGTAATCAGAGAATTTTTTTGTCGTCAGACTTGGGACACTATCAACTTTAAAATTTTGAATGCGGAGCTGTGTTCTTTGTAGCAATGTTCATATGGCACCGTTATGTTGATACCTGTCGATTTATTGATCATCAAATGAGTTATTACATTTTATTATTTCTCTGGTAATCGTTTCGAAAAAGCAATTTTCAATGGACTATGGAACTTTTTTATGCAAATATCATGATATACAGTATCAAATGCGTAACAAAAATTTCAAAACAAGAGGCAACATATTTTATCATTGTCAATTTCAGTTTGAACTTCTACAATGACATCAATTGCTGTTGCCTCTGTATCTCTGAACCTACTAAAACCATACTGATAAATATATGAAAGATTATTGTTTTCCAAATAATGGTTCTAAAATCTTGGAGAAACTAATCATACCAAAATTGGGAGGTAGTTGTAAAAATCAACTTTTTGGCCATTCTCATAAATAGCAGTAACTTCAGGAATTTTCATATAGCTAAGTATTATACATTTTCAAAATATTTTGAAGAAATGAAGGATAAAATTTGTGGGAATCCAGTCTTTTTTAATATTTATACTGATATCATCCTATCCAGATGCTTTTCTTGGATTCAAATATTCTATTATTTCTTCACCGGCACCGGCACAGTTTTGGAGTAGTTGCCCTTTATGAATGTTGGTTACTCCAAAGCGGATGAATTGCAAAGCTATTTTGAAGAACCCCGTCTAAAAAAATAATTTCCAGCTATTCATAAGTTTTACCTTTATTGCGCAGCCATGTGTTTCAACGTAGTCTATTTCCTCCGGTTTAACGGAGCAGTTCTGGTAAAATTCCTCCAAAAATTCGGTCATATTCTCTTCTTCGAAATTCATTAAATTTCCTTTGTGATTCCCATCAAATCTAGTAGATATATGCATGATACTTCCATAAATCCTTCTCGCTTCCGAAGATCTCTGAATGAACATGACTACCACACCTTCACTTCTACCATAACCACATGCTGAAAATCGTAAAGACATACAGGGTTTTTTCACACACTGAATATTCTATCAAATGTTGTCGAAGAATCTTTTTGAGGAATATAGTGAATTTATTTTTACAGAGTGAGCTAAATTGGGTACTTCTAAAGGGAAACTCATGTTTTCAAACTCATGGTTGTGTCTGAGGGTCAAATTTTATGACAAATTCAACGATGAAAACAGCATATCGATATGTATATCATCGTTTCTGAGTTACAGCATGTTATTCGAAATTGTGCATTTTCGACAAGTGACTGTAACTTTTTCCTGTCAAAAATTTCTTATTTCTATAGAAGATGGAGAAGAAGTAAGTCAAAAGCCAAATATGTTTCCTTAATATTGATTACAAGTGGAAGAAAAAAAATCTTGATTAACGAATCCATTTTTAAGCAATAAAAAGTTATTTTTAGGAAACGATTCTTATCAATCATGATTTCAGCCAGATGTTTTGAAAACCAATTTTGAATTACTTTATGAACAACGTATTTGTATACAACAATTGTTCAAATAAAGCAGTTATGAATTGAAAAAAATCATATTCATGAAGCTTCTGATTATAAAAATAATGGATCGATAGTCATGATAAAAAGAATATTTATATGCTCAATGATTAATGGGGCTTTTTAATTTTCAGCCCAAGTAAATTGTTGATAACAAATTAAAAAATCACATTTTTTTTATTGTTTCAACCGAGGCCTTTCAAAAATGCTCCAGAGAATAATAATAATAACGTCGTCCAATCGCTTTCCGAATCGGAAGGACGAAATCCCGGCCTTGCGGTTCGGAAGATTGAACGGCGTGTACACAAGATGAAGGCTAAGATCACGTCGGCGAGACAACACCCTTCTGGAAGGGTATCTATGAACACCCGTAGCCACTCAACTTAGACACTCCAGCCCTAGCGCAGTTCGAAGCTTTCAACAGAAGGGCCCTTCGAAGCGCAGTTCGAAGGGCCCTTGTTGGTTCCAAGAACTTTGCTGATCCAGGCCCAGATGGGCTGAACACTTATTGGTGGAAAATACTACCAAGTACCCACCGCCATCTGGCCAGAGTTTTCAACTCATGGCTGGATGGAGAGCAGCCGATTCCGGATTGGTTTGTCGAGGGGCGGACCGTTCTTATCCCCAAAAGCGGAGATTTGTCGATTCCTAAGAATAACAGACCGATAACATGCTTGAATTCGTGTTATAAGTTGTTTACAAGCATCTTATACACACGAATACTCACCGCAGTTGACCGAGTGTTCGAACGGATATATGAGCAGAGAGGGTCCGAGAGAGGAGTCGCTGGATATAAAGAGAACCTGCTCATCGATAGATGTGTGATGCAGGACTCGATACAATATAAGTGTAACCTCTCTATGGCCTGGATCGATTACCGTAAGGCATTTGATACAATTTCGCATGAGCTCATCTTGCATTTGCTCAGATGCCTTGCGGTACCCGACAACATAGTGAGATGTTGAACAACTGATACCACTTTGGCGAATTCGCTTCACCATAACATCTGGTCAAGCAAGAGTCCAAACAGGGTGGGTCACTTTCAGAAAGGGTGTATTTCAGGGTGATTCCCTTTATTGTGAAAGACGTCAATGGGCACATTACATAATATATTATATATAGCTGTGTATACACAATAAGTAATAAATAAATGATTTATAAACAGACCCACACATTGAAAAAAGAAAAAAACTTTAAGATCTAGTTGAGGAATTCTTCAGAAGTGTAACAATTTTTTGTAATATGAATTGTTCTGTAATTCTTTAAAATATTGAGAAATTTGCATCCATTCAATTCATAACTTTTGTGAAAGAGGGCAGTGCGATGGCGTACTGGTAGTAGCAATTGTTTTCCTCTAGTGTTATAGTTATGTAAACGTTCAGCCATATTGCTAGATCTTTACATGTAATGAATCATTGTTCGTTTATTGTATAAGTTTGAAAATGTCCGTATAGGACGAAACTGCAGTAACGTCAGTTACAAATAAAAGTGGTAAAAAACATAGAAATTTTCATTTCTTGTTTCATGTTAGATCTTTGTTTAAAAACGTGCACACAGGCTTCTAGGATATAGGTTCCTGTCACTGTTAAAATGTTTGATTCCTTAAAAAAATGTCTGCACGAATTTCTAGAGCCTAGTTTTGACAGTATTCGTATGGCATATTTCTGTAAAGTGAACACTCTATTTACAGAGATATTTCCCCAGTTTAAAATGCCATATTTCAGGTGGGAGTGAAAATTAGCATGATACAGGATCAGCAGCATCTCTTCACTACAATGATTTGCCGTAAAACTCAAAGAGTAGCACGAGTTTCTCAGTTTTGTGCGTAGATTGTCAATATGTGTGGTCCAGATTAAGTTTGCGTCAAAAGTTATACCCAGCAGTTCAGATTGTGCCCACGCAGAGTAATTAATATATCATTAGTCTTTGATGTATTTGAATTCAGACTATTGCTTTTCCAGAGTATTGTTCCAGAGTATTTTCGGCTACAATTTCCAATGCATTCATATCGTTCTGGGCTACTAGTACATCAGTATCATCGGCATAACATACCATATGCATATTGAAGTTGTTAGTCATGTTATGAGGTCTTATGAGGTCATTTGCGTGAACTACATAGAGAAATGGTCCCAGGATGGAGCCTTGCGGAACTCTTTGAGGTATGTGTAAGGTATCTGAGTAGGACTGAGTGAGTTTCACAACTTGCTTTCGATTGCTTAAAAAATACTTCCCTGACACAATATTCGACGCAGTCGAAAGCGCGTAAGAAGTCTAGAAATAGGCCCATCACAATTGTCCAGATTTTTTATTACATGGCTCTGGAATCCACAGAGAGCAGATTCTGTGCTTTTCTTTTTAATGAAATCATGTTTTTCATATTCAGCTCAAATAGTTTTGAAATACTAGAGATAATTTTTATTGATCTCTAGTTATTCAGATCACTCCGGTCTCCTTTTTTGTATATTGGATATACCCTTGCGTATTTTAGTTTTTCTGGAAAAATCAACTTTTGTGCTGATAAGTTAATCAATACTGTTAACGGTTTGCATATACTGGGACCAATTTGTTTCAGAAAAGTATTACTGAATCCATCCATGTCAAGGGATGTTGAATTTTTTAAGCAGAGAATTAATTCTAACAGGTCATTTTCTGTTATTGGGGACATATAAAATGTGTTAGGACACAGAGGTACATTCTTATTCATGAAGTCCATGACAAGAAAACCATATCAGATTTGTTATTTGATAATTATCGCACTTGCAATGTTTCTGTTCAAAATTGTTAATCAAATAATGCATGATTAACTGGAAAATCACGATAAAATTGTTTTGAAGTCGGATTACTGTTTATTCGTTTATTCAGTAGGGGCCTGAATTTTTTCAATTTTTTATTTTGTTATCAAATGGGGTGAAACTTTCATTAAAACATCGATAAAAATAAAAACAACAATAAAAATTCATTGGCGCTCCGGGGCGACTTCATTGATTCCAGTGGCGCATTTGCTTTCTCAGCTGCAGGAAAACCCAGAATAACCTTCAGCACCACATCATCTGAAGATCTTGATCTACCAATGTTATCTCTCTCATAAAACAAAATGTAGGGTGTATCCAGAGGCTCCAATAGATTAAATGGATCGCCAGAACACTTCGTGACACGACTATCGTCAAACTTAAACCAGTCCGTTTCATCTTTGACCAAGGCGTAATAATGACCAAATTCAACGCCAGAACCACAGTGAACAATGACTGTATGAATATTATAAAAGTGGTCTGCTAGATTGAAATGTTCATCTATTTCGAACCTTCCAAAGACTTTCATGCTTCCGTCAGAGGTTGAGTCTTGTTTGAAGATCATCAGTGTTATTATTAGATTGACTGGTGCCTCAGCTATACTTGTTTTCTTATAACACTCAGTTAGTTTGGCGCATGTTTGGCAATACAGTCGATCATCACCTGTTAAAAATTCCATTTTCAGATGATTTAACAATAAGCTTTTCACGGACTGGTTATTAGTCATATTACGAAAAGCTAGATGAAGTTCCAGAAATTCACATTAAGTTTTCGCTACCTCTTGAACATTTACTACAAAGTAAACAAGTGAGGATTTTTCCAGCAAAAGATTTACAAATACAAGACGATATGGACTGTACGGAATCATTCGATCCACAGGTAAAATATTATTTTTTCAATAGAAGTCCGAAATTGGCATGTCTGGCCAGAGACCTCTGCGAAAATTATAAATACAGTTCTACAATTCCGTGATGCGGTATTTTTTTTTGGAATTTTCTCCTCTTTCTGAATACATTTTCAAATTTGGAAACTGTACAACAGTTCCTGAGATATTTACAAAAAACCAAACCCATTTTTTTTCAGTTAATTGTTTATAACTTTTGCAATTTTTGCAAGCGGCATTTGAATGACCCCTTGTTCATATTTTTCAGAGGCGGAGAGAAAAGTTTGACCTGAAAAGAACTTGTGAACTATAGATTTTTCATGTGCTTCCAATTCCCCCCAAAAAAAGTTTCGGGATCAATGTCTACTCACCATTAGCATCAAAAGCCTTGATGCTACCGTCTTTTGATAGAAGTCCCATGTCGTCATACAGCCACTGTAGTTCTTCTTGGCAGCACACATTTGTAGTTCCAACTATTACAGAGTCACACTGGCCGGTTTTGATTGCAGCAAATGCCAATCGAAGGATTTCCATCCCATTTATCCAGTTGGTGTCATAGGCTACGCTGGGTCCTTGAATAGATCACAGAAAGAAACGTGAACAAAACTTTTTCAATGAAAAACAAAAATACAGCGCTCAATTAAATAATAGCACAGTGATCAAATGGACTTCTTTTTAATAGAGATGACCCAGTTGAGTTTTTCGAAATTATCATTTGTTTTTGACAATGGATTTGATGGGTGATGGGGGTTTTGAAAGATTTCAGTTTAAGAAGGGCAAGAAAAATATTTCAAATAACTATAGCTCCCTTTTATTTCAATCGGTGACAACGGAAAGCATTAATAAAGCTGGTAGTCAGCACAATCTTGAATATCTGATATGATCATGTGCGATTATCAGTTCTCCAGGGATCTATATTGTAACCAACCGGTTTCATATCAATACTTTCAATTCCATTAGCTGCGTTGAATAATTTGTTGAGTGACAAGATGGATACCATTATGTTCTGAAGTACTGTAATATCAAAGTTAGTTTCTCAGAAACTTTGTGCATTTTTTACAAAAACACAGATGATCACACCCCAACAACTTGCAAAGCTTCATGAAGCTCAATTTACTCCTTCCTTGGAATACTTATCAGAATATTACAATGCTTTGAATAGCTCAATTCACTTTCAATTGTAATTCTTCTCAGCAACTTCCAATGTTTCATACACTACATTCTACACCTTCTCTGGTATAATACTCAGTAAACCTCAATGCTTATTGAAGCTGAATTAACACCTTCTCTGGAATACTGTTAATACAGTTTCAATGCTTCATGGAGCTCAATTAAATCTTCCTTGGAATACTGCTCGGAAAAATTCAATGCTTCCTGTAGTTGAATTTTCAGGTCCTTTGGAACACTGCTCAGCATTTTAGAATGCTTCATATAGCTTAATTTACACCTTCTTTGGATTACTGCTCAGCAATTCATAATGCTTCATGAATATCAATCAACACCTCCATCAGAATACTGCTTAGCGACATTCGATGCTTCACATATTTCAATTAACACCTTTTTCACAATACTGCCCAGTAATTTTCAATGTTCTACAGCTCATTTTACACCTTCTTTGGAATACTGCTCAGTAACCTTCAATGCTCTACGAAGCTTAGTTCACAGCTTCTTTGGAATACTGCTTACCATTTTGCAATGCTACATACATCTAATTTCACACATTGAGGATACTGTTCAGTTTGTTTGGTTACTTTCCATGCTTCTTGAAGCTCAATTCACACGTTCTCTGAAATACCACTCATCAACTTTCACTGCTTCGTAAGGCTCAATTTTCGGCTTCTTCGAAATACCCCTCAGCTGATTTCAATGGTTCATAAAGCTCGAATTACAGCTTCTTCAGAATAATCCTCAGCAACTCTTAATATTTGATGAGGCTCAATCTCCGCCTTCCTTGGAATACTGCTCAGCAAACTTCAATGCTTTATATAGTTAGCTCAATTAACACCTCTTTTACGATGCTCAGATTACCTCCAATTGATATTTATTGATTGTAAACGGGTATGAACTTTTTGAGATTATCAATTCCAGGGCCTCATAATCTACTACTGTCATTATTTTTTATTAATTTTTGAGGTTTTGTAACTCAAAAACTATAGGTCGTACATCTTCAGCTCATTGAATTTTTTGTGGCAAATTTAATGCTTTACAACAGCTTTTTATTTACTTTTTCTAAATTATCCACTACCAAATAACAGAAAACTGAATCGAAAAGAAAAAATTGAATTTTTGGGTGGAAAATTGAATTTTTGGGTGAGAGAGAAATCTGATCCTATGCGTTGTTTTCCAATAGTGGTATTCTTTTGTATCTATATATCTATCAGATTATGATGAATGTAATGTGTCCATGTAAGAATTCATTGAACCTAATGCGTAGATAGAAACGATACACGCTTTCCATGAATATACCATTTGAAAATATTATCTTGTACTCACCTTTCAAATTCAACCAATAAGAAATACGATTTGGCAACATAGCTCTTGAATGTCCAGTCACTCCAAACCCACTCACCACCGATTCCATGAATAGGTTGTCATTTTCGCCTATTGTGGAGCCCATGAACACTCCGATCCTTTTTCCTTTTATTTCATGGGGATTGAAACCTGAGAAAACATGGTCATACAATTCTCGAAATGATTAATTTGAAAAACCAGCTGAACACTGATGATTCTGAACGATTATTTTTCTCCAAAAAAAATCTCCGTCAAAAACAAATACTGAGATCTACTCTGTTTCCTAATAGTAATAAGTAATAAATGATCAATTTCACTAGTTCGGACTTCCATTGTCTATTATATAAAATGATTTGAAATCCCTGAAACAAGTAAAAAAAAATAATTAAAAAAGAATAGTTGAAAATAACAATTATATTAAGCAACAATAAACCTGAAATGAAATGATAGTAAAATAACCTACAAGTAAAAATATAAT